CCTTTCCCTGGACAATCGCTCTTCTTGCAGAAGTTGTCTGTTCTTACAAGAAATGTCTACACTTGCATATCACGCCTCCCATTTACTGTGAATTCTTGTACTATTTTTTTAAGATTTATTTATTTTTAGAGAGATGGGGAGGAAAGGAGAGAGAGAGAAATACCAGTATGTGACTAGCTCTCACATGCCCCCTGCTGGGGACCTGGCCCACAACCTAAGCATGTGCCCTGACTAGGAATTAAACCGGCAACCCTTTGGTTCACAGGCCGGCACTCAATCCACTAAGCCACACCAGCCAGAGGTATTTCTTGCACTTTTTAAAAATTGTGTGTTTATTTTATTTTAGAGGTGGGAAGGGAAGGAGAGAAACATCAGTGTGTGGTTGCCTCTCATGCACACCCTACCCGGGACCTGGCCTGCAACCCAGGCATGTGCCCTAGACTGGGAATCGAACTGGTAACCCTTTGATTTGCAGGCCAGCACTCAGTCCACTGAGCCACACCAGGTAGGGCTCTTGTAATTTTTAAAGGAGGTTTAACTCCTATGCCGCATTGTGCAAAAATCTGAAGAGGTCAACATGATAAACTTTTGCATATGTATGAACCTTTGTAATTACCATCTAGGTCAATACAGTATCTCCAGCACCTCATTGGGCTCACAACCTCCATAGCCTCTTCTGCTGAATAACCCCTGCCTAGAGGTAGAGAAACATCAATATGAGAGAAAAACATCTATCAGTTGCCTCTTGCATGTACCCCAACTGGGGACCAGACCCACAACCCCAACATGTGTCCTGACTAGGAATGGAACCTGTGACTTTTTGGTGTATAGGACAATGCTCCAACCAACTGAGCCACACCAGCCAGGGCCAGAGAATATTCTTGCCATGTTTTTTGGTACATGTAAGAACTGATTTCTATGAGAGGTACAGATTATGAGGTAGGAGTGCATTCAGCTTTCATGGAAACTCACAGACTGTTGAGCAGAGTGGCTGCTCCCTCATATTTCCACGACTCACAGGTGAGAAAATCCATCACTCCCCATCTTCACCAGCACTTGGTAAAGTCATTACCTTTGCTCTTTAAGGCCCTGATGGAGGTTCTTCTGCACCAACCAGAGCTTGGAAGCTGCTCCTTACATGTTCGCTACTCTGCTGCTAATTCTCAAATACAGCCTGGCCCATGACTTACTGAGCTCCTGCAGTTCAGTAATCTGATATTGTGCCAAAAGCTTAGAGGCATCTTCTCGCTTGATCCTCACAACAGCTTGGGAGACAGAGACGGAGAATCTCCTGTCTTCCAGGAAAGGAAGTTGGAACGGGAACAGCTGAAGAATCTGTCCAGTGTCAGCTGACTCTGTACACACAGAATTAAGATTTTATAAGATTTTTTATCTGTACAGGCAGAATTAGAGCTGAGGTGTTCTTGCTCCTGAGCCGACCCTTGTAACCCCCATGCACATGAGCTCACGAACACAACACAGACATCTAGGTGGTACTGTACTCAAGTGTTTGGACCCCTTAGATTCTCTGACCCTGTTCTCACTAGACCTTCATTCTCCTCTCACTCTGGTGACCACTCTAACATTGGTTCATCAAACATCTCACAACCCATTCTTTCTACTGTTAATACTCTCCAACGTTAGTTCACACATTCTTAAAATATTTCCCAGCTAGGTCCAGAAGTGCATTATGTGGCTAACCCATAATAAAGAATTAAAGTTAACATGCATTAATTTTTTTTGTTTGGTGTCTGACACTGTACAGAGCATGGTATATGCAATGTATAAAACTTCAGCCCACAGTTCTATAAGGCAGGCTCTATTTTTAGCTTTATTATTTAAAACAGAAAATGGGACTTCCGGCAAGATGGAGGCATAGTGGATGCACTGGACCTCCACGCACAACCAAGATTGGAACAACAACAATTTAGAGGCAGAATAACACCCAGAACTGACAGAAAATTTATCTGAATGGAAGTTGGACAGCCAAGAAGTTGAAATAGACGCGTTTATCCAGACCACTAGGAGGGGCGGAGACAAGCAGCCGGGCCCGGGTTGCGGCTCAGAGAACAGGGAGAATTGGGCGCATAAGGCATCTGGGGCACACAAGATCGCAGCGGGTGGACCCTGAGTACGCAAGCGGCAGCTGACAGACACAGTGAGGCGGCGATTGTGGAGCAGGGCAGAGCGCGCAACCAAGGATCCCAGGGAAGGGACTGAGGTCCCACGGAGAACGGAGCTACTGCCATTGTTCCCTCTTGACCCCACCCTCACATACAGTGTCACAGTCTAACGACTGGGGTGCCCAGCCCTGGTGAACACCTAAGGCTCCGCCCCTCACCCTAACAGGAGCAACCAGACCAAAAGAGAGAGAGAGAGAGAGATGGCTCAAACAGAAGCACAAATCAGTGCCCCAGAACTCATCCTTTTGAGCGAACAAGAGATAGCTAACCTATCAGATGCACAGTTCAAAACATTGGTGATCGGGAAGCTCACAGAATTAGTTGATTTTGGTGGCAAATTAGATGAACAAATGGAGGTTACCATAAAAGAGATGAAGGAAGATGCATGGGGAACGAATAGTGATGGGAAGGAAACTGGGACTCAGAACAATAGAGTGGACCAGAAGGAAGAAAAAAACAACCAAACAGGAAAGAATGGAGAAATAAGAATTCAAAAAAATGAGAAGCTTAGGAAACTCCAGGACATCTTTAAACGATCCAACATCCAAATTATAGGGGTACCAGAAGGGGAAGAGGTAGAGCAACAGATTGAAAACGTATTTGAACAAATAATAAAGGAGAACTTCCCCATTCTGGCAAAGGAAATAGACTTCCAGGAAGTCTAGGAAGCTCAGAGAGCCCCAAAGAAGTTGGACCCAAGGAGGAACACACAAACGCACATCATAATTACATTAGCCAAGGTAAAAATGGAGAGAATCCTAGAAGCAGCAAGAGATAAGGGAACAGTAACCTACAAAGGAGTTCCCATCAGACTGTCAGCTGATTTCTCAAAAGAGACCTTCCAGGCAAGAAGGGGCTGGAAAGAAGTATTCCAAGTCAAGAAAGACAAGGACCTATATCCCAGATTACTTTATCCAGCAAAGCTTTCATTTAGAATGGAAGGGCAGATAAAGTGCTTCTCAGATAAGGTCAAGCTAAAGGAGTTCATCATCACCTTATTTTATAAAATGTTAAAGGGACTTATCTAAGAAAAGAAGGTTAAAAAAAAAAACATGTATAGGAAAAGAACAGCAAACTCAAAATTATTAACAACCACACCTAAAGCAAAACCAAAAGATACTAAGCAAACAACTAGAACAGGAACAGAACCACAGAAATGCAGATCACATGGAGGTTTAGCAACAGGGGAGTGGGAGGAGGAGAGATGGGGAAAAGGTACAGAGAACAAATAGCATAGATTGTAGGTTGAAAATAGATAGGGGGAGGGTAAGAATAGTATGAGAAATGCGGAAGCTGAAGAACTTATATATGATACATGGACATGAACTAAAGGAGGGGGAAGTGGGTGGGAAAGGGTATACAGGGTGGAGGGGAGTGAAAGGAGAAAATGGGACAACTGTAATAGCATAATCAATCAACTATATTTAAAAAAAGAAGAAGAAGAAAAAGAGAAAATGAAGGCTTATGGAATTAGAGTAGCTTACCAGGTGCCACAAAGCTAATAGTGAGTTTTTCTGGAACTTGAACCTAGAGTTTTTGTGGTCAGAGACCATGATCTTAACCACAGTACCCATGTGCCCTCACCTTTTGTTAAGTGGAACTCAGGTTTATTGCTTTGAGTAATCGTAAACCTTAGTTTATGACACATTGCCATCCCTGATTCATGAAGGACCTTGACTGATTGATTATTAATTAAATTGTTTATTTGCGGATTCATTTCTTTTTGAAAGTAATGCACTTAACATCACCAGACTCAAGAATGCGAACATTACTCACACCCTACTATCTTAGTCTATCTGGGCTGTTGTAACAAGAATGCCACAGACAGTTCTGGAGACTAGGAAGTCCAAGATCAAGGTGTTGGCAGACCTGGTGAGGGCCCACTCCCTGGTTTGCAGGTGGTCATATTCTTGTTCTGTTCTCACGTGGCAGAGAGAAGAAGCAAGCTGTCCTGTCTCCTCTTGTAAGGACACTAATCCTGTTGGGGGCCCCACTTTCACCAACCCTGTACTCTTAGGCACTGTTGTTCCCTGATTCTGAGAAGACTGGTTTTTGTTTTTGCTCCCCCCCCCCCCATTCTATGTCCTAAGGCTGAGGTGGGCTTCCCACTTTCTCTGGCCACTTCTACCGCTCTCGTAGAACTCCGCTCATAAGGCACACACGCCATCAAGGAAGCCTTCCTGGCCTTCCTGACTCCCATCTCAGCTGTACAGGTGCCCCTGGTCCAGACCCTCTGCCCCACATCTGTCCTTTCCCTCTGGGTCTCCCCTCTCAAGGTTTCAAGAGTCTAAGAACTAAAAAAAGGAATTGCAAACCTGAGTTTCAGATCTGAAAACACAGCAGCTTCAAACAACCATTTTCCTCTCCTTGTTCTCACTGAAATGGTGATTTTGTTTCTTCTGCATTTCCATCATTAATAAACCCTTTTGTGTATTGAATTCCAAATTCCCTTCAGGTGACAGCACAAAACCCAAGACCACAGAGCCCTGCCCTTCCCACCAGGCCTTGTCTGAGGACATCTCACCCCAGGAGCGACTGACTCAGCAAGACTCAGGGAACAGTCAGGTGGGGCAAGGCAAATACCAAGATGGACCATCAGAAGTTCAGGAAGGCTACCGGAGACCAGGGACAGATCTCCCAAGGGAGAAGCTCCTTGTGAAACTGAGCCCTGAATGTGGCAGTTTAGGGAGAAACAGTGGTCTGCACTCCCTGACCATGCAGGAGCCTGTGTCTCCAGGAAGCCGTACAAGAGATGCTTTATCTGAACGAGAATCACACAGAACAGTGAAAGGTTCCTTAATTCATGAAGGAAAACAGACCTATACATGTGAGGAATGCGGGAAAGTGTTTAACAAGAAATATTTCCTGGTTCGACATATGCAAGTTCACACTGGAGTGAAGCCCTATGGATGCACAGAGTGTGGGAAAACCTTTAGCAAGAGCACCCATCTCCTGCAGCACCACTTGATACACACAGGGGAGAGGCCCTTTGAGTGCCTGGAGTGCGGAAAGGCCTTCAACCGCCGGTCACACCTCACGAGGCATCAGCGGATCCACACTGGAGAGAGGCCCTATGTGTGTAGTGAGTGCGGAAAGGCCTTCACCCACCGCTCCAATTTGGTCCTGCATAACAGGGGCCACACAGGAGAAAAACCCTTTGTGTGCAAAGAATGTGGGAAAGCCTTCCGTGATAAGACTGGTTTTCTTCGACACTACATCATCCACACAGGAGAAAAGCCCTTTGTGTGTGTGGAGTGTGGGAAAGCCTTCAACCGCAGGTCACACCTCACATGGCACCAGCAGACTCACAGCGGACTGAGACCTTTTGAGTGCAAGGAGTGTGGAAAAGCCTTTTGTGACAGCACAGACCTCATTCAGCACTACGTCATCCACACTGGAGAGAAGCCGTACACGTGCCTAGAATGTGACAAGGCCTTTTACCGCAGGTCACACCTCAAGCAGCACCAGCGAAGTCACACTGGGGAGAAACCCTATGTGTGTGGTGAATGTGGAAAGGCCTTCACCCACTGCTCCACGTTTATCTTGCATAAGAGGGCCCACACTGGAGAGAAACCCTATGAGTGCAAAGAGTGTGGGAAAGCCTTCAGCAATCGTTCAGACCTCATTCGACACTTCAGCATCCACACCGAAGAAAAACCCTATGAGTGCAGTGAGTGTGGAAAGGCCTTTAACCGCAGGTCATACCTCACGCGGCACCAGCAGATTCACAGTGGAGAGAAACCTTATGAGTGCATGGAGTGTGGAAAAACCTTTTGCCAGAGGGCAAACCTCATTCGACACTCCATCATCCACACTGGGGAGAAGCCTTTTGTGTGCAATGAATGTGGTAAGGCCTTCACCTACTGCTATACTTTTATCTTGCATAAGAGGGCCCATATTGGAGAGAAACCTTTTGAGTGTAAAGAATGTGAGAAAGCCTTCAGCACTAGAAAAGATCTCATTCGACATATCAGCATCCATGCCGGAGAGAAGCCCTATGAGTGCAGTGAGTGTGGGAAGGCCTTTAACCGCAGGTCAGGCCTCACACGGCACCAGCGGATTCACAGTGGAGAGAAGCCCTATGAGTGCATGGAGTGTGGGAAAACCTTCTGCTGGAGCACAAGCCTCATTCGACACTCCATTATCCACACTGGAGAGAAGCCCTATGGATGCAGTGAGTGTGGAAAGGCCTTTGGTCGCAGCTCATCTCTCAGTCAGCATCAAAGGGTTCATACTGGGAGAAACCCTGTCAAGTAGAATAGAAATAGGAAGACCCTTCACAGGTGGATATCCTCAATCTCCAAGAACCTCCTGTTGGGGAAAGATTTTTTTAATGTGATTCTTTTGTCAGAATGTGACTATTTATACCAAAGGGAACCCTCCCTGCCTCACCACTACCACCCCAGTTTTCTTCCTTGTGCAAAAACCTGTTGCAGGATATCACTTGTCTTCTAATGAGTCATACTAGAAATTGACTCAGCCTAGAATCCCATTCTGCATCTGAGAATTCATCCAGAACTTTGATCCAGCAAAACCTTCAAGCCACATCTTTCTCCTTAGTTTAAAACTGCAAAATTATCTCAGGGGTATTTAAACAAAGAAGGAGGAGACATAGAGGCAAAAAGACGAATGCAACCACAGCTTCTTTCACAGATCAGAGGGCCTTGTTCCCTTATTTTTTCTGTATATACATTCACTTCTGTCAATCAGGAGAGTCAGGCTTTTGAGGATGTTTGAAAACACTAATCAAAAGCCTTTGTTCTACAGCATTGTCTCTACCTGTGAGCAGCCTGAGTCTCTGAGAAATATGAAGGCTTAAATTATGAAATGCTTTTATATTCAGATAAAGATGTACATATGATACAGAAGAAGCCACTCAGACTATTAAATTTCTTTTTGAAAGTGACAAACATAAACACTAAAAAAGTACTCATGAATTCAGATTTTTAAAAATGTTTTTTCATGTCTTTAACCATCTAAACCTCAGTCTTCATCTTGAACTACTTGTTCATTTTTTTTCTTTTTTTTTCTTCTGTGGAGTGAGGATTACAGTGTCACTGTGTAACCTCCCCAGATGAATCCTGATTATACCCTCTGACTGATTTCTAAGCTTCAGTCTTCCTTAGAGAGACTTTCACTTCAGCAATTTTCTGGGGGTTGAATTAGAGTCAAAACAAAATAAAATGTAACTGAATTAAAAGAATAAGATCAAGTCAAAAAACACAGAGAATGCATTTCATTTTTTTATCCTCACCCAAGGACATGGCCATTGATTCTAGAGAGAGATGAAGGGAGGGAAAGAGGGAGAGAGAAACATTAATTACGAGAAAAACATCAATGAGTCGCCTCTTGTGTGTGCCCTGACCAGGAATCGAACCTGTGACCTTTTAGTTTATAGGACAATAGTCCAATGAACTCAGCCACACTGGCCAGGGCACATCTTATTTTTAATCTTAAAAAAGATTGTGTGAGGATTCATTGTCAAATTAACTTGAATTTTAACACGAAGTAGGCATACGTATATGTGGGCTTGTGTGAATTTTACTGTTGTCACCATGAAGTTAGCCCCAGTATAAAAACTAATGACTAGTATCTTTCCTTAGGGTATTTTGGAACTTCTCCTTTGCCTTTTTTTTTAAAGCTACATGTGATACTATTACCTCATAAAAATATACTGTACAAAAAATACATGTACTGCACAGAAGGATGATCATGTCTTCAATTTGAACCCTCCTAGGGGTTCAGATGACTTTTAAGTGACTGTGGACATTTGTATTGCCACTGTCGGCAAAGCCATTTCTGATGTATTAATTAATGGTACTGTTGTTAAGGTACCTCTTCATCCTCTTCAGCAGCCTCTAGGTCCCGAATATTTTCTAAAAGTTTTATATTTTTAACTTTTACATTTAAATCCCTAGTCTATATTGAGTTAATTTTTGTATTACCCTATGAAGTTTAGGTTGAGTTTCTTTCTTGTGTTTTTGCCTAAGTATATTCTGTTGTTCTGACTCTACTTCTTGAAAAGACTATTTGGCCTCCATTGAATTGTGTTTACTCCTTAGTCAAAAATCATTTGGGCGTATTTGTGATGGTTAGTTTCTGAGTGCTCTGTATTAACTCATTGGTCTTTGATAGTATAGGTATCACACTATCTTGGTTACTGTAGCCATTATTAGATCTTAAAATTGGGTAACATGATTCCTCTACCTTTATTCTGTTTTAAAAATTGATTTAATTTTCCATACCATCTTTACTTTTGACTTTCCATTAAAAATTTATTATGTTCTTGTCTATATTTACAAAACCACTTGCTGGGATTTTGCTAGAAAGTAATCTATAGGTCATTTTGGTGAGATTTGGAATCTTTATTATCTTGGTCTTTTAGTCCATGAACATGGTTCCATTTATTTAGATATTCTTTGATTTATTTCATCAGTGTTTTTCAGCCTGTGGATCCTGAACATATTGTTAGATTTTTTTGTAGGCACATTTTTTGTGTCATTGTATGTGGTATTGAGTTTTTAATTTGTTTGCACATGATCATTACTGTTACAGAGAAGTATTAATTTTTATATGTTAACCTTGTATCCTGTGACTTTTTTGAATTTGCTTAATAGTTACAGCAGCTGGGTGGGGGGTATATAGTTTCATGGTTTTCTTTATCTTATCAGCAAATAGTAAACATCTTATTTCTTTTCCTAATCTGTAGACTTTTCATATCCTTTTTACTGGCTTTATTGTACTGCATAGAACTTCTAGTGTAGTATTGAATAGAAGTAGTGGAAAAGAACACATTTGCCTTGTTCTTAATGTTAGGGAGAAAGGATTCAGTGTTGATCATTAAATATGATGGCTATGGGTTTTCATATAAATGTTCTTTAGTTTGGAAAGTTTCCCTCCTAGTTTTTTAAGAGCTTTCATTATGGACAAGTGTTGAATTTTGTCAAATGATTTTTTCCTTCAATTGATGTGATTATGTCATTTTTCAGATGTAGCCTATTGATATGATGTCTTGATTTGACTGATTTTTGCATTTGAACCAGCCTTGCATTCTTTCAGTAAACCCCGCCAAGTCATGGAATACAGTTCTTTTATTATATCTGTATTACAGCATTCAGGTTTTTTTTGTTTAAAGATTTTATTTATTTATTTTTAGAGCAAGGGGAAGGGAAGGAGAAAGAGGGAGAGAAACATCAACGTGTGGTTACCTCTTGTACGCCCCCTACTGGGGACCTGGCCTTCAACCCTGCCATGTGCCCCGACTGGGAATCAAACCAGCATCCCTTTGGCTTGCAGGTCCACCCTCAATCCACTGAGCTATATCAGCCAGGGCTGTATTACAGCATTCTGTTTGCTAGAATTTTGTTGAGGAATTCCGTGTCTGAAATCATGAGCATTTTGATATATAGTTTAATTTTTTTGTACTGATGTTGGTGTCCGAGTAATACTGTCCTTCCAAGATGACCTGGGAAATGTTTCTCTTTTTTTTCCTTTTTTTCTGGATGAGATTTTGTGGATTTGATGTTACTTCATCTATCTCTGTAACATTATGTCTTAGAAGTGTGACTTATAAACTGAATATTGCTAGATATTTTTTCAACCTACCAGGTTACTACTAATTCTCTATCTTGTATTTTTCTTTTAAAAATTTATATAGATTATTTACATTCTGAACTTTGTTTTTAGTTGGGAATTTATATACTCCTATTTTATTAATGTTTAAGCTAAAATTATAACACTTTAACATAAATGAGCATAGAGTTCATACCTTTACCTTCTTCTTGGACAATATAAGGAATATTACTGAGGATTGCATAATTCTATTTTACTCAAAAAGATAATATGCTTTATGCAGACAATGAGCAATTGTATTAATGCACAGCTGGATCCTTATCTTGGATCTTTATTACTGCTATTGATGCAGACCTTTCACCTAGATCACTTTCCTTTGACCTTAAATGAATAACCTGTGAGTTACTTTTCTATTACATTTTTCATTTTTGGCTACACATGCTCGCTCTTGAAAAACGCTGTTGAGAATAGAAATCTATATTGGAGATGATTTCTTCAGCATCTTCAGTGTGTTCTTCTGCTATACCCCTCAACCCCTATATATTGGGTATGGGTGGAGACAATTTATTTTGTGTTGATAATTTCCTGGTAGTAAGGAACAGTATTTGAACCTGATACAAAGGACTACATACCCTAGAGATTTTTCACAGTGAGACGAACTCAGTAATTATAGGGGTTTTGAGTTGTTGGGTGACAGTGTCAAATGCATAGGGGAGATAATAAAATACATATACTTGGTGAGCAAATTGATGGATTGTGACAAACTGGCTGGATGTTTACTAATCCCATTTTCTCTTTTTGGACATCTGTTAAGATAGCATGTCCCAGCTTTCCTCATACTTAATTTGGAATCATTTAAATGTATTGCAGACAATCAAATGTTGGTAGAAATGAGTGTGAATTGTGTCTTAATTGTTCTTGCCTTTGTGCACTACCCTGGGGATAGATATTCTCAGTGATTCTAGATTTTACACCTCCCCAGGATTTAGTACTTTTCTTGGGGGGCTGTAGGTTCAGGTGATACATGCTGATGGTGCATTGATGAGGAAAGGGCCTAATGATTACCTGAAGCCTCAGCTGGGCCATCCCATGATCACATGTTTGTACCACAGTCTACTTGCCCTGATGGTCAGAAGGGAAGGACAGGAAGGGGAGAGGAAGGTCCTGGTTACTATGAACTAGATGACATCCCGTGTCACAAGCTTAATACCATGTAATACAGGCCTGAGGGCAGTTAATCCCAATATCCCCAAGATCCAAGTTGTGTACCCTGCGATAATAATGTCTCTTGGGTAACAAGCCTGCCTATAATTTAAGAAACCCTACTGCTCTGTGGTTTAAGAAATAACTAAATAAGTCAGGTAATACAAATGTGTCCTCTTTACATGAAACTTTTAATCAAAACCTAGAAGGCTACTTGCTGATCAGGAAGTCATATTTTTTAAAAATAAAAAATGCCAAGCATTCTGCAAAGAAGCATCCCAGTTTTTACCTCTCACAGCAGTGTATGTGAAAGCATTATGATGTTAACACTAATGTCAGTAATTAGTTAACACTAAAACAGTAACAACCCCGCCCCCATCACAGAGAATACTTCCAAGACCCCCTTTGGATGCTGAAATCAAAAATAGCTTTGAACCCTATACAGTGTATGCTTTTTCCTACACACACGTGCGTATGTAGAGGACATGCTGGAAAACAGTGATTCATGTCCCAGGTGAGCTGGAGCAGGACAGGGCATGCTTTCATCGTGAAGTTTGTGAATAATTTCTGGACTTTCGCATTTAATATTTTTAGACGTTGGAGGACCAGGAGTAACAAACTGCGGGAAGCAAAACAACCCATAAGTATAGTTATTATTTATTGAGCACTAACCATATGATAAGCACTCTGAGGGCCTTCGTATTTCTCATTGTAGTCGGAGCAGCCCCTGAGGTGGTCATACTGGAGTGAGCACCACAGGATTCTTTAAAGCAGAGTGCTGCGACGTACCAAACCGTTCTGATTCACTAGGTCCGGGTGGGGCCATAGAGCTTGCATTTCTAACACATTCCTAAATCCCGCGGATAACTTCTGTCTGAGGGCAGGGAATACCCAAATATCTATTTGGGTATTTTTAAGAGAAAGTGAAACTTTGCCTCCGTCTTTGCAAATCAAAGTCTCTATTTCCGGTCTGTTTTTACACTGCCAATGGTGGGTTGCCATGGGAAAGGGAAGCAGTGCGTGAGCTCATAGGCTAGGTAGCTTGTCTTACGGAAAAGTGGCTGCTTGCGCTTTTGCCTTGTGCTGGGCCAATGAGTGCTCAGAGGAGGGGCACTTCCGAATGGGGTGGAACTTCCTGCTGATTCCAGGAGCATTTCCGTCAGCGTGCAGTTGGCGGTCAGAAGGGGACCACGTGGCTTCAACACGCGTGTAGGTGTCTCTAGGGGGCTAAGCAAGGGAGGCGAGTGACGTGGCTGGTGTGTCCTGCGCCTGTGCGATTTTGACACCAGCTCTAGCCCCGTCTCCGGTGCCCCAGCTACCAAAGGCTGCAGTTTGGATCTAGGGAGCTCTTTACGCCATTTTATACCAACGCTCGGAGTGCGGCACATAGCAGGTGTCCCTCCCGAGTCGCCCTCCAGGCAGCGCTGATGAATCCTGCGCAGGTGA